AACGCTTGACTCGTCTAAGATACACGCACTATTTTTCGAAGCGGGTTCGGCAAACAGATAATCATAATAAAACTTTGAACTAGTTCTAAGAACGAACAACAATATGCCCCAATGTAGGCCCACGCAAAGCTCTTCTTGATTTTTTCTAACTGGTTGTTTTTGCGTTGAACAATCTCGTTACCTACCTCTGAGATATACTCCCGTAAGAAAGAAAGAACAAATATTATCGAAATAATTATATTCATATCATAAAAGATGTTCCACATGTTTTCCATTCTGTTGCTTGCATAGCAAAATCCGATGAACATAGTTTTCTTCTACCTTCAGAATGGTAGCATTTGAAATACTTTCGCACTGCGCCACAATGCTCTGTTTAAGTTCCTCGATAGTTCTCGGTTTTCGGAAATAAACCGTTCGTTTCAGATATCCACCCAGAAAACAATCCAAGGGAGACAGATCAGGTGACCATGAAGGCCCTTCCTTTGGTCCTTCTCTGTCAATCCATCAACAGTTAAATTCCGAGGAGAGGAAACTTCTCACCACCAGAGCACCAAACCGAAGTATCAACTTCAGTTTCTATATGTCTACTGGCAGGCACCACATTATCTCGTAACATTCGCAAGTAGCACCTTAAACAATGCAATAAGCAAAATTGTTCCTACTTGTTACGTTTCCATTGAAAAAGTACAACCCGGCAATCCTGACGCACACAATACAAGCCCATAATAGCACGCTGGAACTATGAAGCGATTACGATCCAACAAAGTTTCTTTGGTTTTCAACGGCCCAACGAATAGAAACTGTCACATTTCCGTTCACATTAAAAATGGCTTCAACCATAAAAACCGTTTACCACACGTTCAAGTGTGCCAGGTACCATATGCAAAACTCTAGTCGGCGCTCAGGACCATGCGCACGAAGTTCTTGAAGCGGAGCCTCTTTGAAGGGACAAAGGTTGTTTTCCTTTAAAATCTTGAGCACGGAATACTGTGACAAGTAGCATTTTTGGGCAATTTGCCTTGTGAACGTCTGAGGATTTCGATGCACATATTGCAAAACATTGAATAAACCACATTCATTCGTCTTTGTTCGTGGATGTCCCTTGCGTTTCTGATCGCGTACACCTCTGGTAGGTTTTAATTTGGCAATCAGCGCTCTGGCACCGTTTCTGGTAACACTCGTTGCACAAGTGCCGTTGAATTCCTTCATCTTCAGTGAAAGGTTTTCCTTATTTCCGTAGTACATCGCGATCAACGCCAAATGATCGTCAATCGACAGACGACGAGTACCTGAGCAAGCCATAATAACATGCAGTGTAATGTTCTGTTCTTATATACCACACTAAATTANNNCCCAAGTAGAGATACATCACTCAAAACACTAAGAGGTGCGTTAGACCCTGGTTACGGTTACCTTCTGTCAGCGACCTGTCAAATTTCGTCAGTGCTCTATGAAGTACTGTTACGATTAGCGTTCAACCATTTGCACAGGCTTGTAATTGCCAATGATCCTGAAAAGAACGTAGATGATGTCTGTGTTGCTGTACATGTGTATGGATAGAATGGAGAATACAGTAAGAGGTGTATAAGAGCTTACATCATTTTGTAAATACCATTTGTACGGTGAAATGTATCAGATGCATAGACCGTTTGACACTCAGTTGACAACCNTTGACAACCGGCTTTATGTCGCTCTAGTGTCATGGTAAATCCAGAGCTCTGACTGACGGGATACTATGAACATTACAGGAAGGGATGTATGAGAGTTTAAATCATTCTATAATTCATTGTGCATTCGAGAATACTACCCCAGTTGGCTTAGTCGCGAATTGGCGAGAACCAAAGTTACGGCAATCACGGTTCATTTGATCAAATCCGAACATCGTGTCAGAGTGAGTGAGTGAGTCAGGCCCATGGGCATGATCATCGGGGTGAGATCAAAGCAGGTCAAGCATCGCTTAATGTCCACAGTTTAAGCGATCGCAATTCCGTTGAAGCATCCCCTATTTCTTCATTCAAAAACAGTCAGTCAGAGCTCTGGAGTTACCATGACGCTTTTTGGCTTCTGTACACGTTTCGGGTTCCTGTGGTCCGAGTACGGGGGAGTTCCTGGGGCTTTTGCTTGCTTTATCTGCTTCACGGGGGAAGGATGAAGCGCTATCTGGTCTGGGGGTCGGGGCACCTTGCCTTCTTTGGGAAAAGAGAAAGCGGCAGATTTTCGGTGGTGTGAATTTTAAGGACCTCAGTGGGGTAATTGTTGGAGCCAGGGGCTTAGATTTTTGTGGAAGAATGGCAGGTCCTCTAAGAAGAGTTGGAAAGTGGGGACGCCGGTTAGAGGAGTTTTCCTGAAGAGAAGGAGCAGCTTGATCTATGGGCAGTGGTTGGCTCCCTAATTTTCCCCTTTTCGTAGTTTGCAACTTTTCCTGTTTAGTGTACTTCCTGCTTGCAAACCTTTGGTGAGTTTATTTGTTGTTTATACAAACGGGTTTTGTTTCCTCACTATTCATCCTGGAAGACGGTTCGAGGAATCTTCGGTCGGCAGTGAGAGTAGACTCATCGTCCTTCTCACTGCAAAAGCTTGTGTTCGGGGAGCTGCGGGCTAGAGGGACAGAGGATATTTCTAGGATGAGTCTATGGGAGGTCAGATAGTCAGCAGGGATAGGAAGGCGCGGAGATTTACCATAGCCTTCTGTAAAAGTTTACTGCCTCTTTGCTACCCCTTAGGCGAACATGGTGGTAACGTTGTGTGGGTGGGTTTGCCTGGTGTCACTTCCCTCACCAGTTTGTCATTGGACTGGATAATCTGTACTTGTGCAATACAGTCCGTAACCACTGATGAGTGGTTAANCCCCCCCCCCCCAGGTAGTCACAGCACCCGTTTCTTATGTTTTGACACAAGCCATGTGGAGTTACAGGAGTTAGGTATTTTCAGGGAGGTGAGGTTTCCGAGGAAGGATTTTGCCTTCTGTGCAAGGGTCTGGTCCCTAGATAAACGGCTCCATAATATCACCGCCCTCGTGAAAGCTTCTTCAATAGTCAGCTCTCTAGCCGTGTCTAAGATATCCTATTTGCATATCTTAATCGCTTGCGAGGCAGCCTTGGTTGTTTGAATAAACAGCCTTAGCTCCGTAAGCTGTTTTTCAGGCCGTAAGATATGAGTCTTCATTTTTGTTACCTCCCCCTCTTGAGACTTTGTTGCTCGTCCTTGTGCGAATGAGAAGTTTTCAATTACGGTTTTGTGTCAGCATCTATGTTTAAGGGACTATGCCGCCTGGGGAGAGTACTCTCATCCGAATCTTCGGAGCTACGTTGGCTATGAAGTAGAGTAGATGACATGAGGTAAGGGAATGAAATTCGCAGTTCAGAATGGAATAGATTTGTCGAAAAACACTAAGATTGGGAGAACACTTTCTAGATGCGGTAAATGAGAGAAACTTAGATTTTTAAGGTCCCTTTTACGGAATGATAAGAACAAATTTGTAAAGATGCACAAAAACGAGTGATGTACCACAACGGATATGTTTAATATTTTTCAAGGAGACCACGTGAAAAATTTCAACTTGGTGCCAACTCACTGCAGTCTATTGACAAAGGCAATTTCTTTGAATGTGGGACGTTTGCTAATTAGTTAAATACGTTGGAATATCTTACGGATATAGAAAAAGAATATGGGTAGTATTGTTAGTCAGAGAGAATTAGACAGCGAGATCAGGATAAAAATCAGGACAGGACAGTTCACAGGACTTTCGGCTTGAGTCCAGGTTCTTGCGTCTACGGGCCACGTGTGTCTCGTACCGCTTTGACAGTTAGTTAATCGGTCTTTGGTGGCGCAGGGGTGCGGCCGCGGAGCAGGGACGCCAATCCGGTTTGCTGTCGATGGAAGCAGCACCAGCTGATCAGTCACAGGCTAACCAGGAGGTCTGAGTACCCCTCCAGCAAACAGTAGAGAAACCGCAGGCATGCGAAGAAAGATTATAATAATAATAATAATAAGTGTATATTTCACGGAGACCCGTGAAGCATGCATAGGCATGATCAAATGTACAACATTATCATCCATATATGAAAAGCCACAGAGGAAAACTTCTATGGTCGCATTGAGCATAATTACAAATGGAACATAAAGTGGACAAGGTGTCAGAGAAAATGGTTCGAGATGGCGGAATGCTCCAAAAGAAGCAAGTCGGTGGAAGTAGGACGAAAAACAAGAATCGATATACCGGATGAATGATGGGATAATTGGAAATACGACAATCAGTGAGTAAAATAACAAGAGGCAGCCTGCAGATCGTTAGACGGGAATGGACAGAAGTGGGGGTCACTCATAATGGGGAAGCAGCACAGTCATTGGAAGATTTTATTGTATCTTGCTTCTGGTTTTTCAGTTATACTCCGAATAAATTCACCACAGGATATCGTGCCAATCTAACGGAAGACGCCCTTCTTTCTTAGAGTAGCAGATCTCTGGAAAAAAGACGGAAACGCAAAACAGTCTAGGTTTTAACCTAGCTGATGAGGGATTGGGAGAGAAGGAAGCATGCAAGTTATCGTGCACTTTTATCTTAGAAGTTCCGGACAGTCAAGTAGACGACTATTAGCTGGTATCTATAAAAGAGTCACCAAATTTTGCCACTAGACACCGTATGCAATGGCAACAAAGGCGAACTGAATAAATCCGATTCCTCACTACTGCATAAAAACAGATTGGGCATGTAAAAAGATGTATTCACCAGAAGAATGTTCATTCCACTGATCAGCCATGTAGGTTGACCAGTGTACAAGATCTAGAATCTGTACTGATAAGAATTTTGTTAGAAAGTGAACACAGCTGCCTGGTTAGCACGTGCCACGGAGTTGAGTCAAGTGATACAGGTGAAAACCATATTAGGAATAGTAGGATTATGGAAGAAGGGGTCACAATACGTCTAGTAGTATGCACTCGAATTTATTATGTTCCACAGATCCAGCTAGGATGGGAAAGGAAAAGTATGTCAGTAATTTAGTAGGTAAGAAAAGTAAGCTAGTAGGGGGAGGAGGGTATACGAAGCTGGAGACGAAGTGAAGGTAGTTGAAGTGAAATGAGGTGATATAATTAAGAGTAAAGATGGAAGGAGAGTGGTGTTCGGAAAAGCTAAAGGCATAGCTACCACCAAGGACTGTTGCTTCCTTCCTTAGGCTGATTCGGTGAAGGTTGTGTCCCACACCTCATCAAGCGCCAGTGTGGACGCCGAGAAAACCTCGTGAAAAAGTCTGTTCCAGGCATTGACCACTCTACGAGAGAAGTAGTTTGGCCTTCCTCTCTTTACTGCACGGGGTTTGACCAGCTTCAGCTGTTGTCCTCTTAGGGCTGGGTTTTCACTGAGGCAGAAGAGTTGCCTGCTAGTCTGTGAGAGTCCCTCCAGTATCTTGAAAACCTCTATTAGGTCACCTTTCATTCGTCTATGAGTTAGGGAGAACAAGTTCAGCTCTCTCAGGCGCCTCGGGTACGACATCATTCTTAGGGCAGGAAAAAGTCTAGTGTACGTCTCTGGACGTGCTCTAGAGCCCTTGGGTCGCGTACAAGGTTCCGCNTTGGAGAAGGTCAGTAGGACTGCAGGGTCCCTCGATGCTACTGTTCTTCTCAGCAAGGACAGCGCCTTAGAAGCCTTTGCTGAGGCTAGCTGGCACTGTCTGGTCGGCTGGAAGGAACCATGCATGACGATACCTAGGTCCCTGACCTTGTCAGTGATTTCCACCGGTGTGAGTTCCGTGCATCTTCGATGGATGCCCCTAAGAGAATCTGTTTACATTTGCTAGTATTTAGTGGCAACAGCAACTCCTCCATCCACTTCTGGACCTCATCTAGGTCATCTTGAATGGCGTTGGTGGAGGGGTCACTGATAAATTTTACGTCATCGACAAACAGGAAGGACGGTTGTACTACCCTCTTGGTCAGGTCATCTATGTAGATATGGAATAGTAGAGGTCCCGGCACGGACCCTTGGGGCACACCACTACAGGCTGCCCCCTCCCAGTGGACATTTCACCTACCTTGACATAG